GGTATCACAATCAGTATAAGGCAAAAATGGTAATAGTAATGGCTATAAGACCTGGAAAGAGCTTGCTGTCCTCTTTGAGGCTCCCAGGTAAAAGGTGACGAGGGATCCGTAGGCGTTGACTGGAGAGAGGAGGGTGTTGGTGCTTTGCTGTTTGCTGCTGAGAGCCTGGTACATCCTTAGACCCAAAGAGTTTAGAAGCTGTGCCAGAACCGCCGTCCTCTCAGTGATGTTCTGCTTCTGTGTGTCCACTTTGGACAGGTCCCTGCTGTCTGGTGTTAGGACTTCCATATCAAGGGGAGCCACTGGAAGTGTGCTAAGGGGCTTGGATGTCTGGGAGTGCATGGTCTCACAGCTGACATTTTCAGCCGCAAAGAGGTGGAAGGGGTGGATGTAGACGCGGTTTGCTTGGCTTCCTGAGAGGTAGCAGCATAGCAGGAGGGCTAGAAGCAACAGCTGCAGAATCTTCATATTTACGTTGTGTTGGTGGTCACCTTAGAATGATTTCTTCTGTGGAGGGAGAAAGATATTTTTAGTTTCAGATTATTTATGTGTGAACTGCCAGATTTTTTGTGAGCAATGAGTAATGGGTCGCCAGTTGAATGGTACATTTAGTTGGAAATCTGGCTAAATCTGGTTTTCTGACTCCGACAGGATTGGCTGGCAGGAACATTGGACATAAAGCAGCATGTCAGTGATGGATTGATTGCTTTGTGTGTCCTCCGTCTTTCTGGTCAGTGAATGACAGCAGGCATTACCCTTTGCAACGGAGGTCGCATAGATAATGAAGACGCATCTACTACGTGCGTCTATGTGTGTGCAAATTTGAAGAGTGTTTACTGACTTAAACAATATGGTTGTTGCCTATTTGGATCATGTTAAAGCAGTGTTTAGATAGGGAATGCACAGTGAGAGAGCTTTAAAAGTCATCACCATAAAATGACTCAACTGTTCCCTTTGACAACATTTGTCAGTATTACTTTAGAATCTAAAAGATTTTAAAAAATTAACACAAAGATAAAGTATATTACCATAAATAAATATTTACTCAAGTTCATTGAGATACATTCCACAATTTCCTTTCAGGCCATTGCATCTTATTGCTGGAGCTTCTGAGGATTGCAGAGAAACCATTGTTTATAGTTGTTTGAGCTGACAACGCCTCTCCTCATTTTACATTTATTTGCTTTAAATGTGTGAAAGTGAATGCTCTTATGCAAAAAAAAAAAGGACTTTACCCTTGAGTTGAATATGCAGAAATGTGGACTGATGGACTTTTGGAGGAGCTGAGCAAACACTAGATTGTCCACTGTTTGGACATGTACCATGGGACATGGCCTTGGTCTTTTATCAAAAAAGCTCTCAAATGTTCTTATACACAAATAACCTACCTGTGTACCTGATGACTCCATCACAGTGATTTAAAAAATGGCTTACTCTTGATTGCTGTTTTTAAGTGTGTGTCCATATTCAGAATTCTGATGAGCACTACAATATGATGGGATTGATAATAACCTTGGGTTCAAGTCGAAACATTACAGCAAAAGTACTTTTTATTGCTATGAATAATAATGATAATGATAATAGTAACCTTTATTTACAGAGCACTTTTTAAAATCAAGTATAAAGAAGATAGTTGTCTAGAAAGTTTGTAAAAACGACAGATGACAGAGGCGGTTTCTTGAAAACCAATTGTATAAATTTGGAACATGATTTGATGGTTTGGAAGAATAAAATGGTGAAGTCCAATCATTCTCACTCAGATAGTTCCCTTAAATTTGGATGATTCAACATTCAGAAGCAATGTTTGGAAACATTTTTTAAAAATTTGCTCTTACCTTGTGTTTCTGCTGCTGCTGCTGCTGAGAGTGATCCTGAATGAGGTCCCAACTCTTCTGCTCCCTAATTTAACCCCGCCGGCCAACCAGCCGGTGCTCCCACTCTGGTTACTGATTAACCAAAGCAACATTGAGTCAGGGACTCTGCTGCCGTGACTCACAGCCCGCTTTGTACGGACGTGCTTCTTCTAGAGATAAATAGGTCTGACACAGATAGGAAAGAGACCACCCAATGTCCCCTCCACATGTTGACATGACGCAAGCGCACCCTGGATGGGGGTTAAAGGAGAGCTGGTTTCACAAAGGAGCAGTGGGGCGTACAGGGACAGCTAGGTTTGTTTGTGTTTGAGTGTGACTCACTGAAATGTCATCAGATTGTGGAGATAGTTATTTGTGAAGAGGGAACAGTGCTTGTGATTAAATGTGCACGTTCTTCAAAATTTCGCATAACATAGGGGTCAAACAAATTTGAAGCAAACAAGTCTCAATCCTGAATCACTTGTATCTATAAGATAAGAACTTTTAGGAACTGTAAATAGTATGGGAGCTGTGTGGAAATTTACAAAGCTCTTCAAGATATTTATACGAGTTACAGTATTCTCCACAACTATCAACCTCCAAGATATGATTTTGGTCTGTATAAACTGTGTAAACTGAAGAGAATTGGACCAATCTCAGAACCCTGAGGTACTCTTGTTTTAGTGTTTAGAAAAGATGATTTATCAAAATAAACGTTACTCAACTAAGATAGCAGTTATCTTTATGAACTTGGCTTTCTCCTGTGTTTCTTTTATAATCTATAAATGATTCATATGATCAAATCCCTGACATAAATGCTAATCTGTTATTTACAGTGACCATTGAACTACCTTTAATGATAGGTAATATAACAGAAAGGTTTTATTTCACAACAATGACCTTAAAATCCACTTTAATTATTAGCAATATAAGAGACACTGACTTGCATTCAAGCTTAATGAGCTCCTTCAAAAGTGAGAAGTACTAACTATCTAGAGCAGGAAGGGAAGAACATGCAGAGTGTTGAGGGTTGGAGTTGAACCTTGGCAGCCAGCTTCTAGGACTACAGCATCTGTACATGGGGTGCCAGATTTTAAATACTGCTTGATGTCTTCTTATCTTGTGTTTTTGAGGTTTTTAAATGCTGCTTCTATTGAGACTACAATGACAATAAACTTCCTTATGTCCTTATTAGATATTTTCAATCAAATATAGGGTTTCAATAATTTGCAACTCATCACATTCTTTGTGTTTTATTTACACTACCTTTTTTACACAACCTCTGAACTTCAATATAAATTATGGTTGTTTATTACAGCTAGATTTGTAGGGCTAACAGTGGGTACTTGGAAAAGAGCAAACATGTTTCAGATGTTCTTAATAAGCATGCAAATATGTTTTACAAGCTGTATGGTTTGTATTTGTTATTTAGAGGCAACATCCTTGAACGTTATTAGGAAGATCCTTCACACACACCTGATTCAACAAGGCGGGGTACACAGGATTTTCTCATCAGACAGAGAAACATAACCTCACGTCATGTTTTATGACTCAGGTTTTTATCTTTTATCAACATCCTTTTAGTGACAATAACTGATAACGGGAAGTTGAGGGCTGTGCAAAAATGAAAGTAACTTTATGTAACATTGAAGAACACCATTCTTACGCTGACATCAGAAAACTACTCAAGCAACATTTGTGCATCTTCTCTGGTCTCTTATCAATGTAATAATGAATAGGATTCAAATGGATGCTTGGAGGGGTATGAACATATATTTTGAAATTCTAACTGGAATAGATTTTTATTCATGACAAATGAAAAATCCATCCATACAATTTCTTCCGCTTATCCGAGGTTGGGTCGTGGTGGCAGCAAGCCCTGGTTCACCAGGACAGGCAAACCCCTCCACCATGTTAAGGTGGCCATTCTTGGAGGGCAAATGCAAAAACTAAAATTGTTAAAAAGAAATAAAGATTTAAATATTTAAAACATATTGAATTAAGAATAGCTCTGACCTATCAATTCCAACTCCCTGTTACCACCACTATGTCAACCAAAACACAGAATATAATATATTTGTTTTATATTATTTTATATTTGTTTATACTGATATTATCGTGGACTTACATCTACAGCTTACATCATATTTGAAAAACAAAGTTTTAAAGGCTACTTGAGGATAATAGTAATATTGTATGTAATTTAAATATTCAACCTTTAAAACACTGATACTATGTCATGTACAGCAGTTACCAATAGATGCCAGAAAAATACAAAACCCTGCATCCTTAAATACAGAGAATTTAACTAATGCTAGAGACCAAATGCTGACGCTCACAATGCCAATGAATGTCTAGCAGGTACAATGTTCAATTTAGCATGCTAGCATTTGCTAAATAGCATTAGACACATTAGTTTAACAAGGTTTTGTATAAATAAAAATCTGCAAAATGTTTTGCTTTTTTTATTTATTAAGATAATGAATTTATCTGATTTGTTTATGTGTGAATGTTTACAGGACAGTTCAAATGTACTCTATGCTGAGGCTTTATTTGAACATTTTCAGATATTCACAGACATGTGGTGAAATACTTGGTTACCAATATGCATATTTCATCCTTATTATCAAAGGCTATACAAAGCCATCATTTATTTTGAAACATACTTGTGACAAAGGCTTTATTTCACTGTAAATAAATATTTATATTTATGAAACTTTATGTCTACTTGTTTTTTTTTCCAAATACAAAGTCTGTTTTGACTGTTCACACAAAGTAATCCCAAAAACTTTCTTAGTTTTCCACTTTATCTTGAATTTTATTTTTTTTGAATGTTAGCTCTTGACACTATTTTTCAGTATGAAGGTCAGAAGTAGAGACTCAAACATCAGAAGCAGATTTGAGGTATACATGCATAATGGTGCTTTACTCTTTGCTCATTTGCGAGTTCCCTAAAATGCTCATGAAGTTTTACTGTATCACTAAAAGAAATATGATTTAACACATCCTGCTGTCAGAGGTTAACAATCTTTCAGTGCTCTTAATGATGGATAATCAGCTGTGTCTTTCTCACGACAATGACTGTGAGCAATCTATCACTGTCACTATTGTTGGTATCAGAAACTTTATGGGTACTTCACCAGACTATTTAAGCTGCAATGTTCAGCATCTGAAGCAAGTTGGGAGCTGAACACAGTAACCATGTGGACTCTTTTGGTTCTTTGCAGTGTGATCTTCTCACACCCAGTGCAAGGTAATGTGCACTATTTTATTATTGTTATGTTCGTATTAGATAATTCCACAGATCAGACTTGCATTTGCCGGTTACTTGCAACATTAGACTGATTAAATACACTATGTATTTGTTTGGATAGCAACTCCTAAAGAGGGTTTTTATCACTGTTGTTACTCAAACTGTCATCAGCCAGTGTTTTTATTGCTCTGACCCTTCTGTTTGTCTGTTTTCTCATTACTCATCAGGTGAAAAAAGATGGACTGAAGAACAACCAACGGACTACTCAGGTATTGAAACACCAGCACAACCAAACAATTTGAATGCAAAAGCTCCAAAACATTATGTTGACAGAATTGTAATTGTTTCCCTCAGCTCAGCCCTCTTGTCGTTACAATTGCGGCTTTCACATGGGAAGCTGCTCCTGCTCCAGCTCCTGTAAACTCTATGGCAACTGTTGTCATGACTACTACTGTGAGTATCATGTGTCGTGCAACGTTTAGTAAACTTGGATCAAAATTTCAACCAAAAAAATGCTGACACTCATGTTAATTTTGTCAAACAGCCTGCTGCTATTACACACTCAAACATTATACTTCAGTAACTTAGACTACTTTAAAGTCCTGCTGCTAGAGGATTGAATAGCAATGAGGACATGGTTTGGCAATGTTTGTTAGTTTAAGATTCAACAGACCTGTGAGCATGTGTATTTAACTCAATTTCAAAAAGTGAAAGAAGTTTGGAATTGATTTTAACCGCCCCTTCTCTTTCATATAGCTTACTGCAGCTACATCACTGATTCACCAGTCGAAACCACAACAGGTGTGAAAATCTCAAAACACAGTATATGTGGAAAATGTGACCATCATAATCCGCTCGAAAAAGAGCTTACTGATTCTTTTTTTTTAAACTTCTCTTATACGTCGCTCAGATCAGCCTTCGTGTCTCTACAACTGTGGCGGACACATGGGAAGCTGCTCCTGCTCCAGCTCCTGTGAATACAATGGAAACTGTTGTCATGACTACTACTGTAAGTATTAGCATGTAAAGCACAGCAATTGTTTTTTTATCATCCAAAGTTATACTGAAACTAATGGTCGATTTCCCCCCCCAAACAGCCTGCTGCTATTACACACTCAAACATTATACTTCAGTAACTTAGACTACTGCAAAGTCCTGCTGCTAGAGGATTGGATAGCAATGAGGACATGGTTTGGCAATGTTTGTTAGTTTAAGATTCAACAGACCTGTGAGCATGTGTATTTAACTCAATTTCAAAAAGTGAAAGAAGTTTGTAATTGATTTTAACCGCCCCTTCTCTTTCATATAGCTTACTGCAGCTCCGTCACTCATTGGCCAGTCGATCCCACAGCAGGTGTGAAAATCTCAAAACACAGTATATGTGGAAAATGTGACCATCATATTCTGCTCGAAGAAGAGCTTACTGATTTTTTTTTTTTTTTTTAAACTTCTCTTATACGTCGCTCAGATCATCCTTCGTGTCGCTACAACTGTGGCGGACACATGGGAAGCTGCTCCTGCTCCAGCTCCTGTGAATACTATGGAAACTGTTGTCATGACTACTACTGTAAGTAACACCTCAAAGCCTAGCTCAGACACCCCTGCACACAAGGACAATTGTGCAGAGCTGCTACTATTATTCCTTAACAGTGACCTCATAAAGAACAATCTAAAGTTTATGAACAAATCTGTTACTCTGAATATGATGAATTTCCTATTGAAACAGGTATTAGATCAGGCTGAGGGAGATTATTCTAAAATCCAGAGAAAGGAATTTCATTAAAGATTTTGGAATTTTAAAAAAAGCACGATTAGTAGAGTGTCTTAAAAAGCCACTTTAATAACCCCTTCGATTGCTGAGATGAATTCTGATGTCCGTCATTACTGTATCTTATTTCATGCTTTACTTTTCTTATCATCAGTTTCAGAAAGTTGTAGAAAGTGTCGCACGCAGCTCCCTGAATTCTGATGTGAAGAATATTTCCACAGTTATTCTACAAGCATAATGGCACCATTTTTTTTTTTTTTAATGAATTTCAGCATTTAAGCAAAAGACAAAAGGCAAAACAAATACTCACTTATTCAGGAAACCAACATTTAACAGCCAACAAAAGTTTCCAAAAAGTCCAACAAAACACAGGAACATTTTTCATGAAGCAAAGAGGAAAGAGGAAATACTGAGAGGTTAAATGTACAAAATCCACATTGAGAAGACTGGCAGGTAAGAGGTAATTACCTGACACACTGTTCCTCTAAGTATGTTTTCCATGCATTTACAGTCCATGCATTCCTGAATTCGCTGTATGCAAGGAACCTGTCAAAACTAAAACAGTCACGGTCAGATAGTTGTAAAAATGGAGAAGATCTTTTTTAAGGTGTGTGTCAAGTTTATTGGCAACCCTACTGTGTCCAATTCAGCAAATGTAGCCCTGGTTTCCCTAAAAATGCCAAAGGTTTGGTACAAACTTTCTTGACAAAGTAGTGACGTAACCTATTTAATTGCTGATCCTGACAATTGTCTTTACTTATGAAATGTATCTGGGCTTCTTTATAACAGCCAGATGTAGAAAATAAACTGTTCAAGCATAAACTTCTAGTCACTTTGATTATTGCAAAGTCAACTGGAGTAAAATAATGTGTATTTTAGTCGGCCGCAACAAAGATTTAAATGATTTTAACTGTCTTTCTCTGGCATGTAGATCACTGCAGCTACATGTACAGCACTGATTGGCCTGTTGCAACCACCTCAGGTATGACAAGCTCACGACAACCTACAGTATATGGGAAAAATGTAACCATCATATTCTGCTTGAAGAAGAAATGACTGCTCTTTAAATAAAAGCTTCTCTTTCATGTCTCACAGCTCCGCCCTCATGTCGCAACAACTGTGGCAGACACATGGGAAGCTGCTCCTGCACCAGCTCCTGTCCATACTATGGAAACTGTTGCCAAGACTACTCCTGTAGGTATCATGAGTCTTGCAACGCTTTCTAAACTTTCAACCAAAAAAATGCTGACACTCATGTTAATTTTGTCAAACAGCGTGCTGCTATTACACACTCAAACATTATACTTCAGTAACTTAGACTACTGCAAAGTCCTGCTGCTAGAGGATTGAATAGCAATGAGGACATGGTTTGGCAATGTTTGTTAGTTTAAGATTCAACAGACCTGTGAGCATGTGTATTTAACTCAATTTCAAAAAGTGAAAAAAGTTTGTAATTGATTTTAACCGCCCCTTCTCTTTCATATAGCTTACTGCAGCTACACCACTCATTGGCCAGTCTATCCCACAACAGGTGTGAAAATCTCAAAACACAGTATATGTGGAAAATGTGACCATCATATTCTGCTCGAAAAAGAGCTTACTGATTTTTTTATTTTTTTTTAAACTTCTCTTATACGTCGCTCAGATCATCCTTCGTGTCGCTACAACTGTGGCGGACACATGGGAAGCTGCTCCTGCTCCAGCTCCTGTGAATACTATGGAAACTGTTGTCATGACTACTACTGTAAGTATCATGTGTCGTGCAACGTTTAGTAAACTTAGATCAAAATTTCAACCAAAAAAATGCTGACACTCATGTTAATTTTGTCAAACAGCCTGCTGCTATTACACACTCAAACATTATACTTCAGTAACTTAGACTACTGCAAAGTCCTGCTGCTAGAGGATTGGATAGCAATGAGGACATGGTTTGGCAATGTTTGTTAGTTTAAGATTCAACAGACCTGTGAGCATGTGTATTTAACTCAATTTCAAAAAGTGAAAGAAGTTTGGAATTGATTTTAACCGCCCCTTCTCTTTCATATAGCTTACTGCAGCTACACCACTGAATCACCAGTCGAACCCACAACAGGTGTGAAAATCTCAAAACACAGTATATGTGGAAAATGTGACCATCATATTCTGCTCGAAAAAAAGCTTACTGATTCTTTTTTTTAAACTTCTCTTATATGTCGCTCAGATCAGCCCTCATGTCTCAACAACTGTGGCGGACACATGGGAAGCTGCTCCTGCTCCAGCTCCTGTGAATACTATGGAAACTGTTGTCATGACTACTACTGTAAGTAACACCTCAAAGCCTAGCTCAGACACCCCTGCACACAAGGACAATTGTGCAGAGCTGCTACTATTATTCCTTAACAGTGACCTCATAAAGAACAATCTAAAGTTTATGAACAAATCTCTTACTCTGAATATGATGAATTTCCTATTGAAACAGGTATTAGATCAGGCTGAGGGAGATTATTCTAAAATCCAGAGAAAGGAATTTCATTAAAGATTTTGGAATTTTAAAAAAAGAACGATTAGTAGAGTGTCTTAAAAAGCCACTTTAATAACCCCTTCGATTGCTGAGATGAATTCTGATGTCCGTCATTACTGTATCTTATTTCATGCTTTACTTTTCTTATCATCAGTTTCAGAAAGTTGTAGAAAGTGTCGCACGCAGCTCCCTGAATTCTGATGTGAAGAATATTTCCACAGTTATTCTACAAGCATAATGGCACCATTTTTTTTTTTTAAATCAATTTTAGCATTTAAGCAAAAGACAAAAGGCAAAACAAATACTCACTTATTCAGGAGACCGACATTTAACAGCCAACAAAAGTTTCCAAAAAAGTCCAACAAAACACAGGAACATTTTTCATGAAGCAAAGAGGAAAGAGGAAACACTGAGAGGTTAAATGTACAAAATCCACATTGAGAAGACTGGCAGGTAAGAGGTAATTACCTGACACACTGTTCCTCTAAGTATGTTTTCCATGCATTTACAGTCCATGCATTCCTGAATTCGCTGTATGCAAGGAACCTGTCAAAACTAAAACAGTCACGGTCAGATAGTTGTAAAAATGGAGAAGATCTTTTTTAAGGTGTGTGTCAAGTTTATTGGCAACCCTACTGTGTCCAATTCAGCAAATGTAGCCCTGGTTTCCCTAAAAATGCCAAAGGTTTGGTACAAACTTTCTTGACAAAGTAGTGACGTAACCTATTTAATTGCTGATCCTGACAATTGTCTTTACTTATGAAATGTATCTGGGCTTCTTCATAACAGCCAGATGTAGAAAATAAACTGTTCAAGCATAAACTTCTAGTCACTTTGATTATTGCAAAGTCAACTGGAGTAAAATAATGTGTATTTTAGTCGGCCGCAACAAAGATTTAAATGATTTTAACTGTCTTTCTCTGGCATGTAGATCTCTGCAGCTACATGTACAGCACTGATTGGCCTGATACAACCACCTCAGGTATGAAAAGCTCACGACAACCTACAGTATATGGGAAAAATGTAACCATCATATTCTGCTTGAAGAAGAAATGACTGATCTTTAAATAAAAACTTCTCTTTCATGTCTCACAGCTCCGCCCTCATGTCGCAACAACTGTGGCAGACACATGGGAAGCTGCTCCTGCACCAGCTCCTGTCCATACTATGGAAACTGTTGCCAAGACTACTCCTGTAGGTATCATGAGTCTTGCAACGCTTTCTAAACTTTCAACCAAAAAAATGCTGACACTCATGTTAATTTTGTCAAACAGCCTGCTGCTATTACACACTCAAACATTATACTTCAGTAACTTAGACTACTGCAAAGTCCTGCTGCTAGAGGATTGGATAGCAATGAGGACATGGTTTGGCAATGTTTGTTAGTTTAAGATTCAACAGACCTGTGAGCATGTGTATTTAACTCAATTTCAAAAAGTGAAAGAAGTTTCGAATTGATTTTAACCGCCCCTTCTCTTTCATATAGCTTACTGCAGCTACACCACTGAATCACCAGTCGAACCCACAACAGGTGTGAAAATCTCAAAACACAGTATATGTGGAAAATGTGACCATCATATTCTGCTCGAAAAAGAGCTTACTGATTCTTTTTTTAAACTTCTCTTATACGTCGCTCAGATCAGCCTTCATGTCGCAACAACTGTGGCAGACACATGGGAAGCTGCTCCTGCACCAGCTCCTGTCCATACTATGGAAACTGTTGTCAAGACTACTCCTGTAGGTATCATGAGTCTTGCAACGCTTTCTAAACTTTGATCCAAAAAAATGCTGACACTCATGTTAATTTTGTCAAACAGCCTGCTGCTATTACACACTCAAACATTATACTTCAGTAACTTAGACTACTGCAAAGTCCTGCTGCTAGAGGATTGAATAGCAATGAGGACATGGTTTGGCAATGTTTGTTAGTTTAAGATTCAACAGACCTGTGAGCATGTGTATTTAACTCAATTTCAAAAAGTGAAAAAAGTTTGTAATTGATTTTAACCGCCCCTTCTCTTTCATATAGCTTACTGCAGCTACACCACTCATTGGCCAGTCTATCCCACAACAGGTGTGAAAATCTCAAAACACAGTATATGTGGAAAATGTGACCATCATGTGCTGCTCGAAAAAGAGCTTACTGATTTTTATTTATTTTTTTTTTTAAACTTCTCTTATACGTCGCTCAGATCAGCCTTCGTGTCTCTACAACTGTGGCGGACACATGGGAAGCTGCTCCTGCTCCAGCTCCTGTGAATACTATGGAAACTGTTGTCATGACTACTATTGTAAGTATTAGCATGTAAAGCACAGCAATTGTTTTTTTATCATCCAAAGTTATACTGAAACTAATGGTCGATTTCCCCCCCCCAAACAGCCTACTGCTATTACTCAACTGAACAACCAGGCACCGGTAGGATCCTCAATGTACAAATAAAGCGGCATACTGTATCTAAATGTAATGACTGTCATGTACCCTCTTACCCACCCTTTAGCAAGCCCATGTGGAGGCTCTCTGTTTGGCTCTGGCAACTTCTCCAGCCCCAACCACCCAAACCACTACGACGACAATGCTTACTGTGTTTGGTATCTCAGAGCTGCGGACGACCACAGAATCTTCTTGTCATTCACGTACCTGGAGTGAGTGAAGAATTAAGAGCTTTTTGGAGATCTTCAGTATAAATGAGACACATTATAATTGGATATAAATATAACAATTTACTGTGTACAGAAAATCCTTTACCATTGATGCACTCGCTGAATTGACAATTATCATGAATGAGTTTTGCTTATTATTCCGATAAAAAAAAAAAGTCATGGCTTTTATTGTTTCTTAATGGGCAGATTGGAGAACTGCTGCTCTTGTGACTACATTTCAATCTACGACGGGCCGTCTGTCAGCTCAAGGTTTCTGGGGAAAGTCTGCAATGACAGTCAGAGTACTTTCTACTCTACCTCCAAATACATGACTGTGGTCTTCAGGACTGACAGTTCTGTGGTTGGCCGAGGGTTCAGTGCTGATTTCTTGACCTCTTTACCACCAAGCTCAGGTACTTGCATAATAGGGACAAAAATAATGGAAATTTCAGACTTTGCTTTCTTGATTTATGGCCACTATCCTTTTTAAAGAAGTCTCAATGGCTGCTTTCAGTGCAACTTCTGATCCAGTTTATAGAATGTGAATATTTTCTGTGTTCTTTACTTCTGTTAGACTGTCAACTGATCATATGCAAGGACAGACAAAGAAATCTGAGGTAGTGGTGTTGGGTTTCTGGAAACACTGGTCAACATTGTACCCATTGTCAGACATTTTACGGAACAAACTTGATTCAATTTGTTTAAAAAAATAACCAACAGGTAAATCAACATAAGAATAAAGTGTTGTAGTCTGGATAAGAATTCTGGATAGCTCAGTCAACCAACTGTGCGACCCACCCACAAGCATGGCCTCAAAACGTTCTAACTCTGTCCTCAAGTAATCCAAACAGTTGAAATGTGTTTTTTCAGGGCGATTGAGCTGTTCCTCAGACAACATGACCATTGCGATTGAGCGTTCTTACCTGAGCTCGCTCGGCTACGATGGTAACAGTCTGTACCTGAACGACCCGAACTGCAGACCCCGGGTCAACAGATATCAGGTGGTCTTCAATTACCCCATTGATACTTGTGGCAACGTTCAAAAGGTAGACGACTCATCACCTTCAGGAAAACATAAACAATATCCTTAACTTCTTAACTATTGTACCACAAGTTCAGTGAAATGTTGAGTGGTTTAATAGTTTTCACCTTGACAGTTAGAGAATGGCAGAGTTGTGTACACCAACACAATCAGAGCCTACACCACCAACTATGGAGAGATCACACGGGAGTCTTACTTTAAACTGAGCGTGGAATGCCGAATGGATCAAGACTCAGTGGCTCAGACGATGTTTCTCATCCATCATCGTGATAACAGCAGCATTACAGGGACAGGAAAATTCAACACCACCATGGATTACTACACATCTAGGAACTTCTACAATAAGGTGTGGTCGCATAGTTAAGTTGTGCAACTTTTTTCAGGAACACTGGTGCCATTTTTACTTTCATCCTCTCAGGTGACTCAAGTGCCATACAAGGTGACGCTCAACCAAAACATGTATGTTCAAGTGGATCTGAAGAGTCATGAGGGAAACCTGGTCCTCTTTCTTGACACCTGTGTGACCTCACCGTCACCCCATGATTTCACCAGCAGACCTTACTACCTGGTCCGTAACGGGTAAGAAGAGGGTGTGGGTTGATTTTTTTGTTACCCAAACAAAGTGCAGATAGAGCGAATAACCTGCACTGGGCTCTATAGCAAGTTTTTAAAATCAAGACAAGGAAGTCGAGGTATAAATATAATGTTGAGGCACTCTATTATTTCCATATATTGCTTGTCTATACAAACATGCCACTACATTATAGAGAGAACTATTATACCTACATTTTTCAGATAGGCTTAAAGTTACTTTACAAGTTCTCATAAACACAAAAATGATAAACAGCAGCTTAAAGGGGAAATATTATGAAAAACCAAATTATTTTTTCTAGTGAACTGTTGGTGTTATTTGAATAGCAATACAAAATGACGAGTTGAATGAAAAGTTTCCTCCTCTTGCTTATCATGAGCTCATCCTTCAATGATGATTTACCCCTTCTCAGTGGGGGCTTACACATCTGGCCATCCACAACAAACCTGGGGAAGTCTATGTGGGTGCTGTCAACTGAATTTTTAAGTTGTCTAGCAACCTCACCAAACTGCACAGCCACTTGACCGGCCCGCTGGTGGACAACGAGAAGTGTTACCCTCCGCCGAGTGTCCAGTCATGCCCTCATAAGTTTTCATTAAAGGATAGCTTTGATAAAGTGATAAAACAATTATTATCTCAGAAGTATCTAGTGTTTCTCACATCCCAGTAGACCTAACTAATTTGTATAAACTAGCAACTGAAATAGATCATTAGACACTGATGCATCTTTACTAACAGTCTGATAAAGTTGTGTTTGACAATATGTCTGCCACAGAACATTTTTCTGCAAATTGTGTACTTTAACTTTCGTTGATACTGCTTTTTAGCTTTTAGCGCAGAAATACGCAGGTTGGATTTTAACTTGTTATTTTTGTTTTTTTACATTGGGGAGATGGTGTATAAATATAAGTTAATTAAACTAAATACTTAATTCTGCCACTACAATATATATAAAATAAATCATAGTATTTGGTGGATATAGGACCCTGCTCTTGTTATTCTTACTAAAACATTCGTCCACTAACTCTGTCTTTCTTTAGATGTACTGCAGACAACACCTACAGGGCTTACACCACTGGCACCAGACCCTATGCCCAATTCACCTTTAAGGCCTTCAAGTTCCTGCGAGCCTCAGACTCTGTGTACATTCAGTGCAAGGTCCTGCTTTGCCAAGCCTCTGACAAAAACTCGCGCTGCCGCCGCGGCTGCGTCAGACGTGTGGCCAGAGACCTGGGGTCAGAACACGACCAGCAAACTCTGGTCCTGGGTCCAATCCAACTCAAAGGTTTGTAGCCACATATTCCTGCTTTTGACAACAATGGACTACATTGAAGAATAGTGGTAGCTAATATGTTTAGAACTAAAACAAAACTCACTGCTCTCTTTTCCAGGCCCAGAGAAAAAGGAAGAAGAGACTCAGAAGGAGGACAAGGCTTAAACCAATCTGTAACAAGCAGCTTTAGTCACCTTTAACAATCATTACAAGTCTTTTCATTCTATCCATTGTGACACTGAATTGTACTTTCCTTTCTCAGCTTTTCTCTTAATAACATTATCTGATTAAAAGCATTATCAAAAGGCAGACCATGTTTGTGAAATTCCTTATGTCACGCTCACATCTTGTATAAACATGGGATGAATAAAAGACAAAGCACAGTTCGGTTATAAAACACTTTACTTATAAATTAGTATGATTATTAATCCATGTCACAATAAAATGATTTTCCATCCCAGAGGGAGTGAGTGATCGCCATCAGGCTTTGACATTCACCATTACCAATGAACCTACGACACACTGAGACAACGTAAGGCAGTCATTACTGGAGGCCCCTATTACTGGTTAGCATGGTGACACGGAGGTGGTCCTAAAAACAGTAACTATGTTCTCCACACATGTTGCTAAGCAACAGACAACCGTACCCAATACAAAGAACAATCTTGATAAAGTAGCAGTCTTACTGCAAAATGTTTTGCTTTTTTGACACTGAACATCTATCCAACCACTCAGAATACAATACTCAGTAAGTAATATTCAGAAAGGGATCCAATGGGGGAATCTCAGTGAGTGTTACCACAAAGGCTAAAAAACAGCATCCCTGTTGCTACACAGCAATTCTGAAAACATGAAACACAAGACTTGGTGATTCTTTCTTAAACATGGTTCAAAGTGATTTCTTACAATATCAAAAGTTTCAATAGTGAAATGATGGAACTAAATGGTTACAACAAAACATTTTTAACAAAACAAGTGAAATTGATGAAGAAGGGCACTGTGGAGACGGTCTCAAAAACACCACTTCTATATAAAATCTAGTGTCACAACTTGATTGGCTGACCCAAAAAAACAACAAAAAAAACACACCCATACAAAGTTTGGCCAGGTTTTTGCTGTAGATGTCCTCTGTTTAGTTTTGATCCCAACATGTCTTAGCAGCATTCATGGAACAGAATTTTGGCAACAAAAAGTCATGGCTACCATAAAAAAAAACTACAATGGCCAAACTTTTTATTGTCGAAGGCTCTGGGCCTTTCTGTTACAGCAAGCAGAGGAGATTTGTGATAATAACTATTAAACTAACAGTCCTCTCTGTCTAGGCCACACAAGAGAAGTGACCATATCAGGCACTGCAAAGTAAGAGTAGTAATGCACCAAGCACTGAAATAATTTCAAAAAGGCTTAAATGAGATCACTCTAGATCGAGCAGGTTCACTCTTTTTATCATCAGATCAATCTGTTGACAAAATTTCCGGAGTGGTGAGAATTTATTTGGGTGGCCAACCTAGAGATACCCTGTAAAAAAAAGTTGTTTATTTTGCGGCTTGTATTTTTCTGAAAGGGACGCGCTGAATTAGAGCCAACCAGCTGTGTGAGGAGCCCCTCCAACCCAAACTGTCTTGGAAGGTAAACAAGAGTATGGTTTCCTCAAATGATGTATTCTGCACACAGTAGATTCCTATGACTTTAACAAAACGTTAAACAACTGATTGTATTCCTTCCATTAGCCACTGTTAAAGAAATGTGTCAACGTACTGGAGGCTCAACTTTAAGAACAGCATTCATGTCTGTGCTACATTTACAGAAAATCCAAACCATAAAGGAGAAAAAATATAAAGGAAAATTGTGTATTCTGCAACCTACTACATTCAGGGAGGTTAAGTAGTTTGGCTATGTAGAACATCATGAACCTTCCTCCACCACCACAAATAAATTCTCAACCAGTTAAAAACACTGATCACCCCTTCATAATACGCTTGAATGGGCACAATACAAAATTAAAACCCTCTGAAAGGTACCATTTTCTGGTTTGAGTACAACTTTCAAAGGCTAAGCTACATCAAGGCCAAGTAAGAGGCCAATAAATAAAATTACTATGAAAATAATAAAACAAGGTGTCCATTAAAAGTTTTTTTTTCTTCAGAGTTTTCCTTTTCAGTCGTCCTTTACTTGTGCTGTCCACGGGCAAAGTGGCAGGCAAAGTCATACTTGCTCTTGCACTTGTGGCCACAGATGTTGCACTGGAATGGGTTTTCATAGCCATGGCAGCCCATGTGGATGGTGTAGAGGATGTTGTCAGGGAAGTAGATATCACAGTGCTGGCAGTGATGGGGATCCTGAAGCGGGGCGGACAGGCCTGGGGCAGGTGTACTAGGTTGGCTGTTTGAGATACTAGGGGTACTGGTGCGCCCACTGTGCTCACTGCAGGGTCCCCCTCCTGGGCTGCAATGGCTGTGGGGAGGAGCCCGCGGCTCTGGGGTGATTGGGGAAGAGGAGGAGGCGTGGGCCATGCTGGCTGTGATAGCAACAGGAGCTGTGGCAGGGTGGGGCTGCTGGATGAGGAAAGGCTTCTCGTCCACGATGGACTCTGCTCCTGGAGACATGGGAGGTTGAGTCTGGGCCTGGGACTCAGAGGGGAGGCTGGCCAACTGGCCTGCAAGGGTGGACAGCTGGTTCAAGGGGTTATCCATAACCAAGTCATGGTGATGGTGGTTTTGATTTGACGAGTGCCCACCCTCCACTGCGCGACTCTGATTATCGTAGGTCTCCTGACGCAAGTGAGGCAGCTCATGGGAGAAGTCGTTCACATTGTCCGCCTTGTGTACCACCATAGAAGGGGGGCTGAAGTTGATTAGGAGTCGTCGGCCGTAGCCCAAAGAGCTGGCCTTCTTCTGTAAAACACTCAGCATCTTCTTATGGGAAAGTGAGCGAGCACCTTTCATTGGAAGGAGTTTGTGCCTTCGACGGCGATGATGCGACAGGTTACTACGATCGCTGCAGCGGAAAGAGCACAGCTCACACTTATACGGCTTCTCGCCCGTGTGGGATCGCATGTGGGCTTCCAGGTGACGCTCATAGGCCGAGGCGAACGGGCAGAGGTGGCAACGATGAGGCTTCTCTCCTGTAAAATGAAGAAAAAACAGGCGTAATAACAAAACCCCATCCCAATGCCGTATTTTCTTGCTCAAATAAAACTACGATTACTGACCGGTGTGAATTCGGATATGCTCAATGAGTCTGGCTGTGCCTCTGGTGGCATAGTTGCAATAGCGGCACTTTAGTTTGCCGTCATAGGTCCTCTCAAAACCATCCACCAGGATCCCCGTGCTGTCCTCCAGTGATATGTCCACGGAGGGGTGATCCAGTCCATTCTGACTACAGTCTGTGTTAAGGCACATTAACAGAACTCATTACTTGCAAACAGACAAAAAAATAAATGACTTAACACAACCCACTATAACTATACTTAGCGATATATTACTTGCAAGTGCTTTAAATGTATTTTAATAATGAACATTGCTGTTAATGTTGCTGTTTGGGGCGGCTGTGGCTCAGCTGGTTGAGTCGCCGCCTCTCAACCGGTTCGATCCCCAGCTGGGCAACGTGTCCGATGTGTCCTTGGGCAAGACACTCCCGTCTTGCTCCCGCTGCTTCGGTGGTGGTGTATGAATGGGATTAGTTACTTCTGATGGATGATACTACATAGCGATCACTACCATCAGTGTGTGAATGGGTGGGTGTGACATGCGCTATATAAACTCAAGTCCATTTACCATTTAAACTAAGAAAACATGTAGTCCAACACTTTAGTATCATTCGCGTTGGACTGCATTAAACAAAAGAGCACGGTTATTTACAAACCTGCCACTTAATCAACACTTCTAAACATTCCTGAGGAAAACATTCAAATGACACTATGGGTAGTTTACCTGGTGGCAGCTCGTCCGCCTCCTTAACACCACTTACGGAGCCTGATATCATGTTGACATGTTGAGTCTGCTGGCTCAGATACTCCTGGAAATCCTTCACAAAGTCCAGCGTGTCCGGCTTCTCCTCACCCATTGAAATGAAGCGCTGCAATTTTTGTTTAAGCGACCACAATTATTATTATTATTATTATTATTATTATTACACAGCAAAGAGACATTTGACATGAAATCCGGCTACAATCTTATTTAAAAAAAACAAAAAAAATACAATCCAGCCAATCTGAATTTTAAAAAGTCAATTCAGTCAACGCTAGCAAAGCCAATTTTGTCAGGTATGTCCACCTACCTCAAGATAACTTTCGGTGAAATCTGACAAATGTTGTTTGTTTTAACGAGGCCGAGTTGTTGCTTTTCAGACACAAAGACAAGATAATCTTTGCAATATCTGATTAACAAGCAGGAAACCGGCTCGATCCGATGTCTGGTTGGTTGGGGTGAGGGGGGGGGGTGTGTTGGGGTGGGAGGGGGGTCGCTCCTAAACACAGCTCCGCATCGTCGTCATGTTGTTGCCAGAGCTACGTTAGCTTAGCTCGTTTTTAGAGAAAAGCATCTTTGTCAACAGAAACGCCGGAACCTGTGCGACGCGTTCATTGTTTACACTGCTTCGTCTACGTTTCATGAAGCGGCACTGATTGTATTTTAATTTATCTTTACCGTCAGCCGTCTCACACCGAAACACAGCCTGCTAAATCAAAACAATAAGCCTATTCGAGGGGTGAAAGTTCACTTTGTGTGCACCGGTTTAAAACGTCCCAGTACAAGCGATTTTTTTTTCTCCCCCTTTCCCGCCGAAGAAAGGTTCCTACCGCCAAACGCTGAAACTGTGGTCAGAATACAGAGCAAATGCAGCTTCGTTCTCACAATGTATGAAATATAAAAACATTGGTATTAAACGTTTACAACTTACTTTATACGTCGTCAATACGTCTATATGTCAATTCAAGGACCATAAGACTGACGTTATCACCTATTAAAAGACGAAAATGCCCAGGGTTGGAGGGGAAGCGCAAACAGAGGATTGGGTAAGAAAAAGTTTATGATAAATAATGTGTAAGCAAAGCACTCACCTAGCGCTTCGGTGGTTGCTTCATGATATAAAAGGTGTTTCAATTGTTTGTTTGAAATAAATGTATGAAGCAGTGCCCTCCAAATATTTACTAAAAAACTTTTAAACTCCTGAAAGTTTTTTTTTTTTTTTTTACGAGTTCTCTGATAAAATGTGTAAACTTTTTATGCTTTCTGCTTCTTTTCATTAATAGTATGAAGACAGTAAATGTATGTATTTAAATCTAACGTTCATATACTGTAACTCTTGATCAGAACAATCCTTTTGACGAGGCTTTTACTAGTGAATTGGTGTTACAGCATCAGCTGCTTACCTGTTCAAGTGTTAATGCTTTAACATAAAGGAAAGGGTTATTGGCTGTAAGCAATTTAAAACTCTGACGAGTACAAAGTGTAAAACTATTAGCTTACGGTCACTTTATTTATCTCATTTTACCTTTACAGTTATATTGTATATATTAGTTCTGTTGTTCCATTATTCACCACCTTAATAACTTGCCTACTTGCACATAGCTCTGTATATATATATTTATTTCTCGTTTACTGTACATAGTTATGGTTACATCTGTTTACATCTGTTAGTCCGATCACTGTCCACTTATATGTACTCTTTTATATTTTGTATTTTTAAGTTAAGTTTAAGCTTTAAGTTGTATTTAAATTGACACTTCATATTTAGGTTAAAATGTTTTGTTTACCTGCACTGTTGTTAATTTACTGCTCTGTGTGCCTTTGAATTGCCCCCCCCCCCCCCCCCCACCTCAATGCACCTCTTTATCCATTAGCCATATTTTTTGAACAGACGTGGATTTAAAACACCTCATTTATTTCTACCTGCTGATTAAGTTAAATGATGGCATATTCACTCACATCAGTGACATGACAGACTTTCAGATGTAGGCCTACAGCTTGCAATTATGCGCAAATGATGATTAACAATTGCATTACTTTAAAAAGCTATTGACTCATTCATGTTTTATGACGATCAATAATTTAACAGTAAGCACTTGGTGAAGATCGCATTCCCCTATTTGTGTCAAAGTTGTAGGAAAGCCACTGAGGAGTAGATGATAAACGACCAAGCTGAGCGAGGCCTCTGTATCCTTTTACCACATTACAACTGCTACTGTCAGAGTACAAGAGTTACAGCAGTAATGTAAACCTGCCTGTGAAGTCTTTACTTTGTAACGTGAGTCACTCGCTTAGTGTAACAACTTCAACTACCAATCTACATAACCTGTAGATGAACTGAGCATGTGTATGATGTGCCTTTGTGTACAGAATAGCATAGCGTTATTCAAAATTTGTATTCACATTTCTGACAGGTGCATGTGGTCCTGCATGTACACTGGCTTTTGACTCCCTACATTTGAGTGCAGCTCTACATCTGGACACTAGATGGCGCACATGTCTCAGTAATGAAACAGGTACTCTCACTTTTTTTTCTCTCGCACTCACTGTTTTCAGACACAACATATGACACGACTCACAAATCAAAGAGATGTAGGCTAGTATTCCCTTAACCTTACAGATATAGGTTCAATTTATCAACTTTGCACACATCATGGCTTCCACTGTGCAGGAAGCTGAGTGTGTAAAGTCATACAGTGAGGCCCCTGTCTGTGTCGGCTGCCAGTCTCTAGGGACAGCGTGTACAGGACCAGTGGAAGATGTGACAGTCGACCTTATCATTTGAACCATGACCACCGGAGCAGCCAATTACATCACCTAACAGCCTATCCACACTAATGTTATTTTATTGCAATCTAATTATGCTCAGGTTTCCACCAGAGCCAGAACCTGTTAAATAATTTACACACGGACACAATGATTTGTCGGCACCTAAAGACAAAGTGTGTATTTCTCTGCTCTCATTTGTTTTTAGTTCCAGTAATGCAAATAATTTAAACAATAATGCTATGTTATAATTCCAACTGCACATTGGAATCAGCACAGCTTTTGTTTGAAGGGAAGATTTATGAAGCCTAAAAATACTGAAGGGGAATAATTGGTCAAACTTAATTTTGCATTAATGAAATGTCCACTGCACGATATATTAAGCTGTTCTGTTAAAGGGCAGTGAGAATGTATTAATGAGACGGAGAACAGGTCAGGTAATACTCCTAATAGAGCCTGGTAAGGTTGGCATTTAAACTCGAAAATGCTGTGGTCACACACACTGAAACTTGCATAGAAACGACTCCTTACACTTCACTTTATTTAGCTGAAAACCTGTGTTGCATGGATACAATTGCTGCCTAATGACGTATAAACAAGCAAATACAAAATGTGTCTTTTTTTTTATACAATTACTCATATACTTAACATTTGAAAAGGTGTAACTTGAACTCCAAACCTTTACAGGATTAATCAAAGTTATTCAAGCGAGTTTGAATATAAACACACTGCCACATGCAGAATGGGCTCAGGGATAACACCTGTCTTTGAGAAGGTTGCAGTGTTATCCACTTGCTCTGATTCACTTTTAAAAGGCCTCAATGAAAAGGTTCCCTTCTCCTTGTAAGCGCTTGATTTACAGGCTGTTTGTGGTAACGCCACGCAAGACAACTGATTTGCTCCTCCTTTCCTGAAAGAAATTGGAATTTAATTTAGAGAAGGTCTTGAGCAGTTTTTAAAGACTTGGTGTCATTTGTTGGGCTGCATTAGAGATTACCCTCCTGGAAAAGCTTTTGAATCCCAGACAAGTGCAGCCATAGTAACGATAGACGGGAGCCTCTTGGAGGCAGAAAGGTGAAGGGGGACTTAGACAAGATTTATTCTTCTGTGACTGAGACAGTTTCTTTCTTGAGGTCTCCAGCTCCACGAAGAGCATTTGAAAAAGAACTAAAGGGTGGGGGATTGGATAAAGGAGGTATATATTAAGCTTTTCTTTCCTCTCACCACTTAATTTCCTTGCAGGCGCGCCTTGTGCTGTTGTAATGAATGTAATTGCCGCCTTTGATGAGAATGCTATTATCTGGATCACACTTTACATTGGCAAACAAGACTGCCCCTCCCTCCACCTCCACCTCCTATTTAACTCAGCAATGAGACCCCCCAATTATGCAGAGAACAAGTGGCTTTTCATAAAGCCAGTGTGTCGCTCTTGATTGGTGAGGCTTGGAGCCGACCATATGTGGACAAAGGATAGATTAGATGTGATATAGGCACACCAAAAACCCCATTTCCTTGATTAATTTCCTGCATGCCTCACAGAAAAGCCTCGCTCTGTCTCCACTGAATTCTATCTCTCCTTGAAAGACAAACTCCCATCTTTTGATGGATGTGGCAACTCAATGGACAGACAGACATTTTATTGACCCAAGTTTGACCAGAGCTGCCCGGGCTTCAGGAGGGAATGTGAGCTAAAAAGAGAAATGTTTCACTTGCGTGTGGGAGGATTCGCTTATTTTTCTTATAAAAAGCTCAAAATCACTTTTTCTGCCCTCAAACAGGATCATCTCAATTTTCATGCTGATCTTTTTTGTGCTCCCATGTCATAACCCTCTGCACAAACACACACACATTCACTCGCACACACTCCTTTCCCCTCTTTTATACACCCACACACTTACACACAGAAGCATGCGAAACAGCCATGAGATAATAGAGGCAAACAGATATGATGGGACTTTATGAGGCGATGCACGATAAAGCTGCTGTCACCTCAGGAAGTCTAAGTGTTCTTCTGACTGCCTTATTACCGTATTAAAGCACCACTTGACAAATTCACACACACCTTGGCCTGTCTCTGACAACCCGGCGTTGATTCCGACCAATATTCCTCTAGCCTGAAACATCGAGAACAATCAAAAAGACTGTCACAAGTGACAAATTAGACCATTATTTCTCCAAGATTGTCATCCCTGAAATGTATTCATAGCCATTTGTACTTTATCCCAAAGTGATTATTCCTCTAAGCAAGCAGTTGACGAATGATAGATTGGTAATCAATTCATTTGACTATTGTGCTTTGAGAATGCCTGAAAGGGATCGGCGGCATTGTTCGCTCCTTTTCACTTTCATATATATCCAATAGCTAACTCGCGGTGCTGTTGGACCTGATGGATGTTGGCTGCCCGACCACCTGACTCTTAAAGGTTTATACCATCAGAAACAGGTTGCCATCCGGACCCAGTCACACCAGAGAAGAAATTGGCCAATATTTTTGACTGAAGTGGCATTTTAGCAGTATTTATATGATGGCCTCACTACCAAAACCATGGGCCACAAATAAAGAAGATGGTATAATAGCTTTTGACTGGCCAGCCAGCTCCGGACTTGGAATGAAGTGTCCAGTTGTGAGTTATCGTGGCCAAACGTCATTTGTACAGCCTGAAAAGTGGGGACATTTTTCTAGCTTGTCACTCTCTGGCTATAGCTCATTGTCCTGAATGAAGCCTCTGAACGCACAGTTGCTCTAATACGAGTATTTCACTCGCATTGCAAGAGGGCTGGTAATGGATAAGCCTGTCCGTAGGATGATAATATAGTGCGTCCACTGGCACATCTTTAAACAGCAGCGGGTCACAGCAGGTAGACTGTCAACTCCCTGCAAGTGCATCGCTGCCTATATTAAAGAAACGTATCGAAGTATCATACTTGAGAAATGGTGATTTTTCTTAAATGAACCAGCTTACTGATTTATACTTTGAGCTTTCC